CAACTCAAATACTCCTACATTTGCAACAGTAATTCTACATTTACACAATGAAAGATGGGAAGGTAGATATAATGCAATTTCCATTTTAGCTCTATACCATTAATATATATATATGTGTACTTTATATGCGGTTTTTTCATCTGAAGTGTTGTTCTGTAACGACTTTTTGAATTACTGTAGGTGTTCCCTTTATACTCAAGGCAGGAAAAGCTTTAAATTCAAGAAAAGCAGAAATACGGGTTCAGTTCAAGGATGTTCCTGGTGATATATTCAAAAGTACACGAAAGCTCTTATTTCCAAAATGTAAAGAATATGCGAATACCGTTTGCCTGCTGAAAGAAAAAAAAATTCCTAATTTTTTTTTTCTTTTTTAGGTAAAAAACAAGGAAGGAATGAATTTGTGATCCGTTTGCAACCTTCAGAGGCTATATACATGAAGCTTACTGTGAGTGAAATTCGTTTAGCTCCATTTTTTACGATTTTTTTTTTTTTTACTTCTTCACTTGTCTCCTAATTCTTTTTGCCACTCATCATGCAGGTTAAGCAACCCGGTTTGGAAATGTCGACTGCTCAAAGTGAACTCGATTTGTCATACAGGCAACGCTACCAAGGGCTAGTTATTCCCGAGGCTTATGAACGACTAATTCTTGACACGTATGATTTTTCATACTCGTCTCCATAAATGTTACTTTGCTTAAAATCATTAGATTATAAGTTAACTGAAGCTTTTTATGTGCGTGCAGCATTAAAGGGGATCAACAGCATTTTGTTCGCAGAGACGAGCTGAAGGTAAAAAAAAAAGAGAGCTTTATCTATCCCTGTAACTACTAACACACATATATAAGCTTTGGTTTATTGAATGAACTAGTTATTATTTTAAATTTTTAGGCTGCCTGGGAAATTTTTACGCCCCTTCTGTGTTGGGCTCAGATGCGCAAATGCGGAAGATGTAAATTAAACTACTAACGTGAAATGGTAAACCGTAATCCCAATCCCAACAACTCAAGAATGACAAAAATAAATCTCCTGCAATAAAACTGGAATAATTCTTTTCTGATGTGGAAGATCAGATTAAACTGCGAC